CTACCTTCTGACTGTCAGCCCCCTGGCCTCAGCTCTGGCCAAAGAGGAGCACTGCGGCAAACTCTCATAGCCCCCTTTCCAGCTCTGTCATGGGAGAAACCAGTAGACTAAGCTGAAACAAACCTCTCTTGTTTCACCCTTCACCAGTTCTTCACGGTCTTTGCAAAATTGCCTCTGAAGATGCATCCTCTCCCTATTTATTAACTATGTACTAACCTCAGCCTTCAAGTCAAGTTTGGCAAGGAGCTGAGACACCTCACATGAAGGAGCTGACTACCCTGTGACAGTCTTGTGTCTGACATACTCCTGACCACGTGGAAAACGAACAAATGTATAACCCATGTGAGTGTGTGGAGACAGATCAGGTAAAATTTCTAAAACTTGAGCTTACGTTTTCCCCCCGGGCATGTGACAAAAGCCATTTTCAGATAGGCTGGCTCTAAGTGGTTAACTGGTTTGGGGGCTCAGAGGTGGCTGGATGTTTACGCACAACACACGTGACTCCACAGTTTGGCTTTGGCTTTTGAAGCTGGTTTGTCTTGGCTACTGAAGCGCAAGCCCAGCATATCATCTAGGCTCAGTTGGACCTTGACTGGCATATGTGTGTACCAATCTCGGGGATAATCAGAGCACCAGCTGGCCCTTCTCCAGCTGATAACACAAATACCCAGTAGTTGCCAGAACAGTTATCGCCATAGCAATGGACTCCTCATATGTTCCTGGGGAGAAAAAGTTTGGGCACAAATAAGTGATTAGGCATGTATTCATGCGTATCTCCATATGGCATCAATTTCTCCCTCTTTGAATCTGATGAGAGATACTGAAAATGTCCATGTGTACCAGCATCAAAGGCTGTGCCTCACTGCGAGACTGTTTCCAGTCTATCCAAAGGTTCTTGAGATGGCTGTCAGAGAGCAGAGAATGCATATAGCTGCTTCCTGTTGATTGCTAGAAGCACAGCATGGGTGACTATCCTTTTTTATTAGTCTCTTTTTTTCCTGGACTTCCTCATATTCGTTGGTTTTGGTCTCCAATGCCTCAGCTTCTGATGGTGTGGCACTTTCCCAGTCCTGTGGCTCTTTTGATTTGCTGTGACTCATATTCCTCTGGCCTAAATTCAGGCTGATTTCCTGGCTTAGTGTTTCTCATTGATTTGAGGAGGCTTAGAGCTAGCCAACAAGAAATGTCAGACACTGACAGTTAAATGCAGTTTAAGTCATATAAATGAGTCTGGCCCTTACATGTATTTGGTTTTGTGCTAGTTTTGGCTGGGGCAGAGTTAATTTTCTTCGTAGTAGCTAGTATGGGGCTGTTTTGGGTTTGTGCTGGAAACAGTGTTCATTAACACAGGGATGTTTTCATTACTGCTGAGCAGTGCTTACACAGAGTCAAGGCCTTTTCTGCTCCTCACACCACCTGCCAGCGAGGAGGCTGGGGGTACACAAGGAGTTGGGAGGGGACACAGCTGGGACAGCTGACCCCAACTGACCAAAGGAATATTTCACACCATATGACATCATGCTCAGCATATAAGGCATCACGTTCAGAGTGATGGCGTTTTTCTTCCCAAGTAACTGTTACACGTGACAGAGCCCTGCTTTCCTGGGGATGGCTGAATGCCTGCCTGCCGATGGGATATAGTGAATGTATTCCTTGGTTTGCTTTGCTTGTGTGCGTGGCTTTTTGTTTACCTACTAAACTGTGTTTATCTCAACCCACGAGTTTTCTCACTTTTACTCTTCTGATTCTCTCCCCCATCCCACCGGGGGGAGTGAGCAAGCGGCTGTGTGGTGATTAGTTGCCAGCTGGGGTTAAACCATGACAGTTTTCTAAAACAGTTTTCTTATTTTGCACTTCTTACATAGAATATTGTTCCCGTGTTCCTCCTTCTTTCCTCTGTGCATTTCTCTCTATGCCTCCTCCACATGGTCACCGCAGAAGGAAATTTCAAGGAACAAGTTCACAGAGCCAGAGGCTGGGCTTCGAGCGATGTTGGTTGCCTTTCCACTGCCTGGCCAACCTTCTCCCAGTTCTCAGGCACGGCACAAAGCGGGCCCCACTCTGTCTGCTCAGTCACAGAAGCTCATACCTTGTGCCCCATCATTACATCCTTGGCTTGGGCCTCTGTAGGCTCTTGCCCCAAGTGCATTTGTCCCATCTGTACCCTGGGTTGCAGCATGCTATTAGGACAGAGGACTTGAAAATAGGGAAAAAACTGTCTTGAGCCTATCATTACAGGCCTGCTTCATGAGCTGGAGGAAAATAAATGTTTTTTTTTCCATGAAGACAAGATTTGGGAAAGCATTTAGAAGTAATTAGTCAACAAGACATCATGAAAATTCAGGTGATTTGCATTCCAGCTAGCTTAGAGCAGAGGGACATCTGTTATAGCTTCTTCATCAACACATGCATTTGCATCTGCCTCTCCTCTTTATGCAAAGGTATTTTAATCATTTTATTCTAGTGGTGCATTTCAGTCACACAAAGAGAGTTGTGAGTAGGAACAAAGAGATTTGCTTCGATATCGTGCAGTGGTCAGGAGTACTGAGCCTCACTACAAGAGCTATTGCTCACAAACCTAACAAAATAATAGGCATTTAAAATCCTACCAAGAAGATATTAGACCCATGCATGCTATTTCAAGTGCTCTTGAATAAGGTGCATGCTATTTGATAACATCCTCCTATTAGCTTGCTTAGTCATGTGTTAAAGGAATTGCTTGTCATCCTAAATTACCAGTTGAGTCAGAACTGTATGAGCCACAATATTTTTCTTCAGTACAAAGGGTTACAATGTTTTGTAGAAAACATGGGTTGTAATTACCCTTCTGCAGCAGCAAAGAGGGAAGGAGGAAGAAAGAAGAGGACTCATCTCAGAGGATTTTATATAAAATACCAAAGTTCATTTGATTTCAGACTCAGTTCTTTTTCCTGCCCACAGGTTTCCATACGTATTAAATAGGACTGTGTAAAAAAGTTTTGCCAGCCCTCACCCTCCCAGGCTGGGAAGAGTGAAGGTGTTTAGCGAGGTTTTCCCAGCCCTTTGCAGGGAAAGAAAGTTTTTCCCTTGCACTCTGGGAGATGTGGCACTAAACACTTCCTCTTTCCTCATGTGTCTTTGCATGAAACCCTTCATGGAGCCTTCACCCTTGTTTTACCAAAGAATATGAAACAGGAAAGACTGATAAATTCCTATAACCCAAATTACTTCCCTTTGATACTTCCTCATTGCTAAAATGGATGGAAAGCAGGTGATTCTGTACCTGGTCCCGTGGACTCCACTGCGAATTAGGGATGGCAGAAGACACACCCTACTGATGAAGAAGTGTTGCAATGCAGCCCTAACCCCTGGCTGTGTAAGCCATGGCAGCAGAGACCGGTAAGGCTGAGCTGTGGTGAGGCTGTTACTTCTCCCCAATAGTATAGTGCAGTGTCATTGGGTGAAGGTAAACAGTCATTGGGAAAATGCGGTGTGCATCATTTGTTTCTTAAGAAAATCAAGCTGCTGTGCAATTACTGCCTATCCTTCTGGTAAGAGGCACCGGACCTATTTCTTTCCTCATACTGATTTCACACCACTTCATATTCATTGATATTTAGTGGAGCAATTGCTGCTTCAAGCCAATGTGAAATTACGTTCAGGGCCATGATATCAGGACAATGAAAACATACCTGTCCGTCTCCAGTCTCTCCCTTTTTTCCCCCACTCTTTC